TTTAGAAGGGTTGGGTGTGAGGACAGTTACATGATGGCAAAATAGGTCGACTGTGAGGCTGCTGTTTATGACATTAAATATACTTGATGGGTGCAATATAAGCAACGAACTAAGCAAACATTCAACTCTTGTTCCATACCTGTTTTTAGTTTTTCAGAAGTCGCCCGACAAACTGTGTTTTTTTTTTCCAGAGGCGTTTTTGTCAGAGGTCATCGTTGAGAGAAGTAAACGTGTACTGTGACATTTTCAATGCATATGCAATTTTAGATTTCTCATTTTAAGGTATCACTGATTTAGGGGTAAAGTCTGCAAAAAGTGACCATTTGTTTAATATCATGTAACTGGCCTAGATAGAGGGCATTATCTTTTCTAAAGAGTGCTGTCCATAGTTTTACTGTCATGTGATCAGGGATAAACTTATCTTGAATTAAGAATGAAGCTCGCAACATTTTCGTTAACTTTTAAAAAAATTACATCGAACACATTTACCAATGTTACAGTATTATAACAAAGCATGGTTGACAAAACATTTGAATATGTTCCAATTTTATCAATGCTACACAATGCAGAGTTAAATTTCGTTTTATAAAATATACCTTTTATTTTGTAGATGTTTTTTAGAAAGTCCATTGAAGTAAACCGGGAAAAGGTTTCTGTTTAAACATTTACTTTAATACTTTGAATTCCCATATGTAAAGCCTCATTAGCTACTAACAGTCGTTAATTCTGCCATATGACTGCATGGCAGATGGAGTTTAATAACACATTTTAACTTTACAGTGTTGTGGTCAGTTTGGTCAGGCCAGTCCAATTTAGATTTTAAAAAGCCAAATGTTGAGCTTTTAAAAAGGGATTTTTTCCTAGTATCTTCGGGTGATAGTATTTTTTGCATGAATGTGTGACGTGACATTAAGTTGATGAAAAGAACTCCAATGCCATCTGATGTTCATCTGAAATGTTGGCATGAATGGTGCTGCTAGCAATTGCATACAATCTTAAAACCTGTTTGTGTTATCTCATGATTGGGAAAAGGTCATTAATTCTTTTTAAATAGGTCATTGGCAGTTTTAGTTTTTTATTTATTAGTTTTTATTTAACAACGGTTAATGTGCCTTTTTGTAAAATGCAACAATGTGCAAGTATTTATTTGTTAATTTATACTGCTGGTAGTTGCTAACCAGTTATGTAAACCGCTGGTATCCAGTGTTTACGTTTTCATTTTCCCATAGATGTTGCACACTACAGGGTTATGTTGTTTAGAAGCAGTATGTTCTGTTAATATGTATGGCACATTGCGTTTTTCCCTTTCATTTTTGTGGTGATTAAAAAAAAAACATTTTAAATAAAAATTGTAAATAAAAGATTTTTTAACAAAACTGCGTTCTTGATATACTTCAAATTGTATTGTGTAGCAAGGGGCACCTGATACTCAACATGTGAACTCCCCGATGGAATACTGTGACGAGTAAACATTATTTGGTGATGCTGTGTTAGTGGTGCACGGTTAACACAAAAATAACATGCATCAATAACTGCCTTAAAAGGGAAAATATTTAATAGGCAATCCATAATAGAGGTTTTTGGGTTGGCGTAGATATAAATGTGTCGTTTAACCTGCCGACAGCCAATTAGTAAGGTTTGTCACATGCCAATTTGTTACTAGTTAGGCACACCGGTATGTTGGAGAGTAAAACCCACAACAGTTACAATTACTAGAATCGCCCAGAAATGTCTGTCCAGCCTACGTGTGACGTCACTCCACGAGCTCCCCCCCCCCCACGCGTGACGCAACTACACATGAGACTGGATGAGCCACGGGTCACCAGGGGGCCGTGGCAGTGATTGATTGCATTCCCTTAATGCTACATTCTCAGACTGCTTTCGTAGCTACAGACTAACACCAAACCGCTAATTTCTGTGAACTTTCCCAACGGTTCGATCAAAACTGATACAATGGAAACTATACAATTATGTATTGTTCAAAAGTTATTCGCAGCAAACAATGACCCAGTTAGTTCCGCCCAAGACTGGCGCTTGGGGGTTAATTTTTGTAATAATTGACCACCTTTTCTAAATATGCGTGCACACCACTTTGCCATCATACAGAGAAGAAATTGAAGACAAAGCTTAAAGAATTGCCAATAAAAAGTATAACCCATTATACATTAGGCAATTAATCACCTTTTTTAAATAACTAAATTGCTAAGTGGCATTGTCTATTGTACAATGCCACTTCGTACAAAATCTGAAACGGTACCACATTTTACCAAAACAATGACTGCAGCTTAAACGGAAGGAATTTAAACTGGGAGTGGTCAGCTATCGGCACTGAGAACAATAGTCTCGAGCATCTTTTTATAAGCAACACATGTGAAAATTGCTTTGAAAGCACCATAAACAGATTAATTGGAAGACAGCTTAAATAAGAGCTAATGGCAGAAAATCATAAGTTAGGCAATCGCAATTTTAAAACGGAAAAACTCCGTTAAACTGTCTTGTGAAATAGATGTACAGGATTTGAATCGGTTCTACATTTTACCAGCAACTGCAGCTTAAACATAATTAAGAGTTCGTTTGTGGTGGAGTGGATAGCTATGGGCACTTAGGACAGTAGCCACAGAGGTCATGTTATGAGCAACAATGGTATTTACTCTGAGGCATCGCAAACTTGTATTTAAACAGAACCCACATGACTGGCTAAAAAAGTATTCGGATGGCTTAAACAAAATTACATAGATTACGCAGATTGAACAGTAAACGCGATCAGGAAAATACCAAACATTACTGCAACACAATTGCTCAAATCGCATACAGTGTTTATTTTTTATAAAGTGAACATACAAAAAGCACACACACATCTTCTTTGGTTCTTTCGGTAAAGTCACGTAGAATGAGAATAAAATAATAAATTAATAAAATAAAATAACACAATACAATTCTCATTCTACGTGACTTTACCGAAAGAACCAAAGAAGATGAATCCTTGCAGTCACGAAAGCTTTAAATCGAAGCACACACAAGGTTACATTTGTCGTTAATATTTTATTTTTTACAGTGCAATGGTGCTGTGGGAAAAAAACAATCTTACAAAGACATGTGTACTATTCAATAATCACAACAATTAAACAAAATCACAGTGGCACCGCGAAATTTAAGCTCACACTTAACACAGCCAAGTGTCTCAGTTGTGGGCGTTACACTTTTACATTCTATTTAAATTTGCATCTTAATCAATGTCTTCACAACCGCATTGCTATGCAAATGAAACGTCTCTCAGCAGGAACGTTTAAACTCAAAAGGGAATCATGTTTTCTTCTCTTGAGCTAGCGGGAGCATGTGGCCCACATGACTTGTTGAACCAGCCCGACCCACCCCAGTCGTTCCCGCATTCTAAACTACGGTACACACACCACTGATCCCATTGATTCATAAGCTGCATTGGCAGGAACTAGCAGTGCCCTTTGTGGTCATTGTGGTGAGGTTTGCAAAGCTACACAATGAAATAACGGGAGGGACCTCAACAGTTGGCATATCACCAGGCACTATTTAACCGATTTCCCTCCCACACGCATGGCAAATTACGTACACCATGCTAGTGAAGGATAATAATTGTGTTTTCAATACAGCATTGTCCCCTATTAAGTAGAAATGTTTGCTATGAAATATAAACTTAGATCCTCAAACAAAACATACAATCCAAACCGTGGATTTAATGATAAACACGACCGGAGCACAGGACGTCACTATTAAGCGCCACTCTTGGAAACAATTCAAAGAAAAGTATCTATCGACATTTCTAAGATGTTTTTTTTAAAATTATTATTATACCGTACTTAAAACAATTAATATACAACACTCACGCGGAGTAATGCTTACTACGTTAAGTGATGGGCACATTTTAAATGTTGTGCGCTGCAATGTCCAAAGGTTTAGGACAGGGCCTTGTTGTTGCACGCAAGGTGTACAAGCAGCATTGGGGATGCTGCCACGATATGTATTTTTAGATCATCGTCATTGCCTTTATCGTTCGGCTTCCTATTAAGGAAAAGTAGCTTAAAGCGAATTCTTCATCACCATTATAGTACAGTACAGTACTACATGTTTGCAAAAAAAGTATTGCGATTTGAGATAACATTTTAAGGACAAGGTAGAAAGTGCACTCTGTCCGTAAAATATCTAAAATCGCAAAAAAAGTTAGCAAATGTGTAATACTGTAAATATGTATAAGTGTAATGGCTACGATGATGAGAAATTACACTTTTAAATAACACGATGAATACATGCTTATTTGAGTGGTCATTGCTCAGAAAATAAATTAACAAATTCGATGCCATTTAAAAACATCCCATGTGGTTAATGTTTGCACGAGACCTCAAACATAAACATTTGGGATACGTATATAAACGCGTAATGTTGAAAAAATAAGCAGTCTTAGTTCCAAATGTACAAAGATTTATCGGTTCACACGACCTTTGTCAAAACTGTGCGTCACTCAAAAAAAAACACGTAAATTAAAAAAAGTATTTTGTAGTGGACACAAACAACAACATCGGCTCACCAAATGTTGCATTACAGGCAAAACAAAAAAAATAATTGCAGTCAGGGGCATTAATGTTACGTTTGTTACTGACCCCGGTACACTTTGTTCCGTGCCACGTTTGGGCACTAACTATGCAGCCAGCAGTGCTCACAGGCACTGGGGGGGGAGGGCGTCCATAAATGACGTCACGCGATTTTTGACCCCCCCGCTTCGTCACACGGCGTCACCCCCCCCCCTCAAATATGACGTCACAAAGCTCTGCCCCTCCTCCCCCCCCCCAATTTTTTTTTAAAACATGCTTCAAATCGCTTTAAACTTTTGTTATTGTAGCGCGTATTTTAATGAGGCGCTGCGCTCTGATGTTGCAGGAGAAAACATTTATTAAAAAGTATATTTTATTTAAAGTTGCGCATTTTGATGTGACGTCACATTTCTCAAACCCCTCCCCCCTATCGTCACATATCGTCACGAATGTCTGACCACCACCCCCCCTCTCCACGAGGTGCTTGACGTCATTCATGGACGGCCCCCCTAGGGCACAGCAGATGAAGTGGAGGAGAATTAATGCTCATCACAACAACTGTCAACAACTGCAGTTCGTGGCCTAAAGTTTGTATCCGTCTATTTCGACGCCTCACTCTGTACTAAATGCAACATGCAATGCCCCTTATGTTTATAAATACATTTTTTTACGAACGTGATTTTATACATCGTTTTAACTTTCTATGCACAACGCCTCTTTCATAAGAATAGTTATCTGTAACAACATGTGATGTCAAAGCGATAGTAATCGAGAATGTGTACGTTAGGTCAGGGTGTGTATGCTTAAAGAGTAATCATATTCAAAGAAGTATAATCCTGTTGACCACCAGGTAAATGTCCAAAATATCAACTCCTGCAAAATGTATAGGGAATTGAACTTTGGCTGTCCAAATAAGCGAAAGGAGCGGTATAACAGTATCGGGTGTATCTTTTTAAAGTACCATATACTACCCAATTAAGTATAGTGGGAAAAAAAACGTTACTTGGGTATACTTTAAGAAGACACACTGTAGTTCGCGCACTGCAAGCTATTAACCCGGCCATCTGAGTTTGATTCCCAACCACGGTTAACATCAGTGGCGACTGCTGACATCTGTGAACTGCTACTGGCACTTTGTCAACTTGCATTGACCAGCATGGTAAAGTATTGTCAAAAGAATCCCGATGATCGGCAATGGGAAGTCTTCAACCCACACTGGTTGTACAAAGAGTAATACATTGTTGGTTATTATCCAATAATCATTAACTCTAGCAGACAACGTACGCGCACAAAAAAAGAATGCGACATTTGTAACAGATAAAGGGGCAATGTACACTGGGCTGAAAGTTTACGCAACGTCTGGTTCGAGCGACCTTCGGTACCGCTAAACCCCGTGCTTTGTTCGTTATTCAAGGATTTCCGGATATGCATCAGATTAGAGAAGGCCGGAGAGAGAGAGAGAAAAAAACCACAAATACCGTTTCCAATTGAGACAACGGAATGTGGAGCAAATGGGTTGAGTTCTTTCCCATGAATGGCGGACACTCGTGCCATGATGTGCAGTCTGCTACACAACAACCATCACCGACTGAGTAAACAAAGGCTGAAGCGAAATGAAACTACGACACTGCCGCCACCTTGGACACTGAGCTATGTGGTCCACAACAAATTTAAAAAAATGAGACGCAGACGTCACTGCTCGTAACATTTTGACTTTATATAACCCTGGCCACTCAGGCAAAGAGAATCAGAAATCAAGTTTGTTGTCCCCATCAGTTCTGAAGGTTTCCCAACAACGCTGTTAATAGATGCGTTGCCTTGGTTGTTGTCGCCAATTAACCAACCGACTTGAACCCAGCGTGTGCACAGATGGCAGCAGCTGCAGCACCATTGGGTGGAGTTCAAACGCACAGCCTGGACCCCCGCCTTGAAGACTGTCCTCGTGAGGTGAGGTTTGCCAGAGGCTTTGGGCAAGTGCTGTTTAAGTGCTGCCTCACCTGAAAGGGCTCAAGGCACGCACACAAAAGCCGTAGGGACGTAATACCGGGGTGTATGTTGTCAGGCGGCACTAATGACGACGAGAGTAGCACTGCAAGGTGAGGGTAGGTGAGCCAGTCCCAAATTCGGCTCCTCTTGTTTGCCCGGGGTTAGTGATGACCTGCTACAAACAGGTGCTCAGTTTCGGCCCCAAATTAACATGAAATACATGGAGCATGTAAATGAATCTGGAGGAATTTATGCTTAAGTCTTTCCAAGTTTTTTTGTATTAACTGTTATAGCTGTTATGTTTTTATTTTTTGTGGAAAATATTCAGTAACTGTAAATATAGTTGTTAAAACTGTGACCCTAAATTGGATATTTGAGATCCTAATAGGCAAGAAACCTTTTACACTTGAAAACATGTAATCAGTGGTCTGGGATCTATAAAGTGATTTTATAATTGTCTGCATCTGAAAAACAAGCATTGCTCCTGTCTCGACGCTCTCCTAGACGGTATCCAGAGCCACTGTGGTGGGAATGTGGGATGAATCATCAACGGTAAAAGGCCTCAAGCTGAGAATCCACAACCAACAATTCACCTTCAAAGCAGGCCAGTGGTGTGTAAGAAAACAACAAATAAGCTCCTACAGCAGCTACAACAACAAATACTGTTTTGTATTTGCGTTGTGAGGTTTTTAAATATACTGAGTAAAATAAATTCCATCAAATGTTTTGTGGCTTTGTGTATTTGTAACTGCTGCCAGGGTGGACTTCTATGCCCCTGGCATAGCTGAGATGACAGGGTTTTCCTTCTGCTCAAATCCTGAGCAAATGGAGAGTGAAAGCATCTTCGAGTTGGCAGTCAAGGATAGCGTGGATAATCCAGCACATTGGGTGCACACACAGGTATTGTACACACACGCACATGGAGACACGTGCTCACCGAACATACACAAGCATGCAGCACACACTTAACATTGCTCAGTCAAGCAGTGGCACAAAAAGGAAAACATGCAATTGTTATCCGTAGATAATTTATTGTATATTTAATTTACAAACTGTATAATTGTTTACATATTTATAGCAGTATACTGCAATGGTGGTGACTCAAAGTTACGCATTTGCAGGATGGCAATGTGACTTATTCAAACATCATTCTTTCATTCACAGTGCAAAGTTGGGGTGGAAGTGACAGTCCGAGTTGGTGGAGATTTCTATTTTGATCCCCGGCCGTCCGACCCTCCTGTCAATCTGCTGCTGGTGGCAGGAGGTGTGGGGATAAACCCATTACGCTCCATTCTGATGCACTGTGTGCACCTCATGCGGCAGCGGGTCCTCACTCAAGCTGGATACCAGCTGGGGAAGATCCATCTGATCTTCACTGCAAGGACGATCAGCGAGCTGATATTCAAGGCAATACATGAGCACATTTTACTCATAATGGCATGAAATTCAGTTAGACCTGTACTTAAAACCAATTGATATTCCATTCATATGAGTAAACACAGAAGTCCATCTGTATACATGTTGTACATTCGGGTAATACTCTTTGGTTCTATTCGGTAAAGTCACGTAGGTAAAAAATAAAACAACAAAAAATCACGACGTTTCGGCCACAACACAAGTGGCTTTCATCAGGACAGTTTGGTCCCTTCACCTGATGAAGGTCACTTGTGTTGTGGCCGAAACGTCGTGATTTTTTGTTTTATTTTTTACCTACGTGGCTTTACCGAATAGAACCAAAGAGTATGGATCCTTGCAGTCACGAAAGCTTCAAATCTAGAATTCGGGTAATACTTTCAGAAATTACAGCTACAGAGTTACACTGTAGTTGTGAGGTAACCACTTATAACAAGATACAGTATATATTTTAAGATGTTTTTTTCTTCAAAACTAGCAATTAACATGTGTTATACAATTATAACATTTGATCATAAGTCTCCCAAACGTTTGCTGGGATGCTGTGGCTTTTCTGAGACAAATGCATCAGGCCTCCTCTAGGTCAGTGTTTAAAATAAATATTAACACATTAACGATAGCAGTGATAATAAATGTATAAGTACCTAAGAACACTGATTAATGTTGCCAATGGTGGATGCATGTGACCCTGAGCACTGTTTCGTATTCAATGCAGGACTGGCTGCTGTCCTTGGTGCAAGAGTTCCCAGGGAAAATGTCCCTCCGGTTCCACATCACGCGGTGCAAATCCCCAGTAACGGAGGACCTGAAGCCCTATACTACAGGCACAGACAACGCCTGCATACATCACATTCACGATCAATTATTTTAATGCTTCATATATGGCCTCAAAGTAATGTGAAATCCAAGAGCACTGTTCTGGCTTAAGACCCATAAAGCACTTGAAAAATGCATTATTTTCGTACGCCATCGTCATTACACTGCTGGATAAAAGCTCCACCAAGCCACCACCATATCTCATGAACCTACGATGTGACAATCCTCTCGTCATCTGCATACGAGCAGGCAAGCTCTATGCATTTGAAATACATTTAATTCCCTAAGTGTAATCAACAAACACTGGTTTCTAATGGGATTTCTTTGAGAGCTGGACTAATATTTATGCCGCGTGTGACCCTCCCAAACAGTGGGGAGGATCACTGGACAAGACCTGCTGCAGGCATCGCAAGGCAGCCCCCACTGCTTTGTCTGCGGCCCCTCATCCATGTACGACTTTGTGACGGATGCACTGGGAGGTGCAGGGATTCCTAAGGATAAAATCTTTTATGAAAAGTGGCAGTAAGTTGGAGGCACCCAAAGAGCTGCTTGAAAAAATACGTACAAAATTAATTCCACGCCTTTGTTTATAATCTTTTCATCTACAGCACTTTAATGGCTTCGTAAGGTCGTTAATGTTGTAAGATGTGTTACTCCTGCTTATAAGATGAGAGATCAATCAGAATTAGTGTCTCTTTTGTAAATGCAAAGCATCTTGCCAGTAAATGTTTACGTGATTCACTGTTTTCTTGATTTAATTGCCACTGTTTCATTACATATTGATGATCAACAACATTATTGTTCTGGTAAATATTGACAGCTCATTTGTAAATACATTACCTACCAGCAATGGATTGCTCATGGCTGTTGATCAGTTATATGAAATGTTATTTTGACCTTGTGAGTTCTAGGGTATGCATATTGCAATGCTAATCATTGGAGTGGAACCGTGGCTCTTGAGTATACTGTGCTGTGAACCCGGCGACTTGAGTCAGATTTGCTGATTAAATGAACTACAGGAAATGAGTGGAGAGCTTAATAAAATAAAACTTCAAAGTGAGGCTATTGGGGGGGGGGGCACATGGAACATACATCGGAGTAGGTATACCTTGGTCGATTATTAAAGGCATACACGGATCAAAATGATAAAATAAAGAGAGGAGATTGCTGTGCTTTTGGAAAACTAAAACTTAATCAGGAAAAGCAACGTACAAATGTGTACCCAAAGGTGTTTCATCAGTTTTATCACTGTATAGTACATACTACGACATGAAACGTGGGCGCTGACAAGGCACCGATCAAAAGGTGAAATATTCACAAAGACATACGGAGAGGAACACATGATTATGGAACATATTTGAGTTTTTAGACACTACGTTGACTTTAGAAAAGTGGAATTGGGCAGGGCACGTTGCGTTGCTGGAAAAGGATTGACAATGGGATCGGTTCATCTCGCAGGAGCTTGACGGATCTGGGGGCGGATGGCCTTCATCCAGCAGTGGAATTGCTCATGGCTGCTATCAGTTATTCTCTTGGAATCTTTGGTGAGAGCAATTCACTCACCGCAGTTGGAATTCCCAACCCGTACTTCAACTCAAGCACAGAAAAAAAACGCCCGGTTTTTTTTATTGTTGGGTGGTCTTTGTAAAATGAGCGCTACTTCTGTGTAAAGTCGGTGTGGTTACCCTACGGTAACGTGGAATTCCACGTCAATCGAAAGAGTGCCACACGTGCGTTGCTCGCTTGAGCAGGCCAACATGTGTAAATGTTTAAATGTTCAGCAGCTCGAGTGTCGACTCTTCAGGACAGATTTCACAAAGGTTCGCCAGAGGCCCTCCCCCCCGGCTCCACCTCAACCAAACGGGCACCTATTCGTTCTACCAATTACAAGGGCACCTCTCCCCTACGTTTCAACGGCCCGCGTGCGTTTAAGCGGCGGGTAATTTGATAAGCCCCTCCGCCTCCCGACCCACCCAATTAACATCCAAACGCGCGCTCGCCCTCGCACACCTAATTAACGCAGAGGCTATTCGTTAATATATAAAAAGCGGTCGCACGTAGCGGGGCGACGTTTGGGACGCATCAAATCCCGCCGCCGCGCCAATGCGCACTACCATTTTCAACCCACGCTGCCCGGATGTGACGTCACGAAGCGGCATGGCGGACGGGACGGCCGTGCTGAGGCGGAACAGACCCGGGACCAAGGCGCAGGTTCCGTCTCTCGACGTCCCGCACTCCGATCACCCCCCCCACGGACTTCTCTTTGTCGCCTTCTCCGTTGCTCTGCCGAATCTCGAGCGGCGCCCTCCGAGGCACTCGGCTACGAACGTTAAACCCGAGGAGGGTTTCCCGCAATAACCGAACGGATTCCCGAGCGCTTCTCAGGGTTTGTAAACTGCAGTCCGCTTAGGCGGTAGCCGCTGTGAAGCCGTGCGCCGATTGGTTGAGGCCGGTCACGTGGCGAGGCGAAGCTCGCGCGTGATTGGCCCAGGAGGACCACTAGTGCGGATGCGCGCTGGGAAATTTTAAACGGAGAAGGCCTGGCGAGTGGGCTTTTTAATGTTTTTAGTTTTAATATTACAGGCAACGTTTAATATCGTTCACGCTCGGGTTATTGCACTGCGGTCCGCAGCCTATTCCACCAAGCTCTGACGAAGCCACGCAACATTGGAACCGAGCGCTTTTTGTTTTATATATAAAGCGAGACTGGTGAATAAAACCATTGACAGAAACCCACCCAGGATCGCGCACGATGACCCACAAATTCCAATTACTTTGCTGTTTTTTTACGTGACTTTACCGAATAGAACCAAAGAGTATATTTTCCAATTACTCTTGAAGACGTGTCCGAGGTTTATCTGAATTGGGTTTACGGCTGTGAAGTGGCCGGGATCTGACGGTACAGCGATTGCCTCTTGGACTCGCAATCAACGGAGTGCTCTGCTTGAAGGGTTATTCACCATTTGTGTTTGATTGAGTTTTTTTTTAATGTGGCAGTTTAGCAGCCAAACATTTGCGTTTCAGGAATTCTACAGTTGGCCAGATGAGCCCTTTGAGGAGATGGACAGCACCCTTGCGGTACAACAGGTAAGGGGAACATGGGTTGTTTCGTGCATTGCCTTGTAATAAAGGTGTCGAACATGTCGTGCGTGACACTACTACATTTAACTATACAACTTCACGACAATTTATTGACGTTCATCTTGTGTATGCTAAACCATCCATCCACAGTTCATTCAGCAGAACATCCGAACGGACTTCTCGAACATCGACAAAATTCTGGAGGCTCCAGATGGGCAGGATGAGGGTGTTTGGAAATATGAGCATCTGAGGTACCAGATAAAACACTGAAACATGTCAACAACAGTAGCAACAATTACATTGAATATAATATACCGTACTGGATGTGTGTTTCTCAGTATAAACACATGAAGGACATTGTGATATATTTTCATGAACCAGAACACATGGTTAACAGTGAGCATATTGGCATAATCCACAACATACCATCTGTATATTTAATTACTGTTATTTACTGTGCTGCAGGCAGTTCTGTTTGGAGCTAAATGGCTTGGCTGTAAAACTTCAGGTAAGAACTATGAAGCTACAGACTGATGTAAATGTATAATAATTTGGCCCCACAATTTAAGCGAACTGCTTAAACATCAGCAGAGGTCAGAATGACTGCACCCATGACACAAATATTTAACATGGGTTGGCGGCTTGAGCTAAAACAGATCAAAGTATTTGTGAAAATTAAAACTGAAATCTCAACTTGTTAGTGGGTATATTACAGACGATTACTTGCAGTAATATGTAAATGGCCTACAAGTGCACCTACTAAACAGTAACAAGGAAATTGTTAAGAGCCTACAAATGCACCGACTGAACAGGAATGAGGAAAGGGCCTACAACTGCGGCGAATGAACCAAATGCTTTCGTTTGCATGGCAGAATGATTGTCACCCAGAGACGTGTACCCAGATGACGGCCACGGAGCAGTGGATATTCCTGTGTGCAGCACACAAAACCCCCAAAGAGGTAATTTATTTCTGCTGTGCTAATGATCAGCAAACCTACAGCATCCACCAAACTGCATGTTACAAATTATGCCATTTATCATGCAATGTATGTTCAAATGAGCAATTTTGTCAAGATCCAAACTGTACTACAGTTTAATATGGTACTGTACCTCCTAAGTGTTTGTTTTCATCTGCATCAGTGTCCGGCTATAGACTACACACGGCACACGTTAGATGGAGCTGCCTGTCTGCTAAACAGCAACAAATACTTTCCCAGCAGGTAAGAAAACATAACTTGCCATATACAGTACATTATTTGGGTCAGTATGTGAGGTTACAATTGGGTGGGTTGAGTGCATTGCGTGACCAGTTTCTTCTTGAATGCGCTTCATAGGGTGAGCATTAAGGAATCGTCCGTGGCCAAGCTGGGCTCGGTGTGTCGTAGGATTTACCGGATCTTTTCACACGCGTACTTCCACCACCGCCAACTTTTTGATGAATACGAGGTAGGTGTGCTTTTTGTTTCACCATGTTTGTCATTGAATCACGTTAAATATCATACTGCAAGCAAAACCTAACTCGCTGTGTGGCATGCAGAATGAAACGCTGCTGTGCCACCGCTTTACCAAGTTCGTGATGAAGTACAACCTCATGTCCAAGGACAACCTGATTGTGCCCATCCTGGAGGAAGAGATCCAGGGCACCACGGCAGAGGAGAGCGAGGCCTGAAGTTTCACCCCCCCCCCCCCAATTCATCCACATCGTCTTCTTAACTGTAATCTTCCAGGTATTAGGCTGTCCCAATACTTTTTAATGAGCAACTTTTCAAGTTGCAATTGGCACTAAAAATATTAAATTGACAGAAAGCCACAATGCAAGTGGAAACTAAATCACCACATGGATTAGTGGTGTATTGTGTTAATCACTGCAGATGAGCATTGTGAACTACTGAGCTCTGCACAAGTAAAATGTTCTATATGCCATGCCTCGAGGTAAAAGTTATTTAAAATCGAAGTGTCCTATTTAACAGATTGCATGATTTACAATGTGCATTCACATACTTTTCAATTCATATGGGTTCATTTGCCAAATGGATCAAACGATTGAGGACCAGAATCTTGAAATCTGGCACCAGCTTGGATGGATCTTGGTTAAGCTGAATTTGTACATTATTTGGACCTGGTGCACTCGTCATCTCCTTGTGGTGTTCCCAGTAGCATAACGTTTCTACAAAGCTAGGTCGAGTTTAAAGCAATGTATTCTGTACCCAATTTCTACAAGCTGTAAATCTGCCGATATTGTCTTGGTACCCCGAGCAGTTATTTCCACTCAAATATTCCTGTTATTCCTATGCACCCATAAGTGCGTATTTAAAGTGTCAAACCGTTTGTCATTGTACACATTACAAAACACTTTTTTACAAGGCTTGTATTGTAAGTGCATTAGGACTACTCCTAAAGCATTAGTAATTGGCATGCTATTACAAATTCAGTTTAAGTAAAGCAGTTACATCAAATAAAACAATATTTAACAGTTTGTAATGTTTAGTTTTCATTTGTCTGCTGATAACGTCTTTTGAGATTCATGTTGATCATGAGTCACTTAAAAACCATATGGGAAGGTACATTTTTATTTTTCAATAGTAACCGTGATATCAAATGCATTGCTGATTAAGTGTCCAAAATGTACAAGAGCAGCAGGTTTAATTATATTACAGCAACTATTGTCGTACAAGTATTCCATGCCAAAAAAGGTTAGTATCAAAAATTATAGCAAAGTGGCAGTGGAATTCTATTAGTGCAGCAAAAGTCTAATACTACAGTTGTGTAAGCACCAGCCAGAGCACCCAAGGACAATATCACTTTTCACCCAATTACTATATGCATATTACATGGTAAATCACTAAAATGATGCACTCCTAACATTCAGCACATGGTATGGCAAAGTCAGCAGATGCAATCATGGTTGACAGCAGAGAACTTGTACAACAAAAGAACCGGCA